TTTTAGCTATTGGTAGAATGTAAGTTTGAACCAAGCTTACTCTGTTATGGTAATTAATATCAACATGTACTGGGTTTTTAAATGTTTTTAGCTATTGGTAGAATGTAAGTTTGAACCAAGCTTACTCTGTTATGGTAATTAATATCAACATGTACTGGGTTTTTAAATGTTTTTAGCTATTGGTAGAATGTAAGTTTGAACCAAGCTTACTCTGTTATGGTACTTGATATCAACATGTACTGGGTTTTTAAATGTTTTTAGCTATTGGTAGAGTTTAAGTTTGATGAACGAAGCTTACACTGTTATGGTATTTGATATCAATGGATACTGGGCTTTTAAATATTTCTAGGTATTGACAAAACATGCAAGTTTGATGAACCAGGCTTACTCTGTTACGGTATTTGATATCTATATGCACTGGGTTTTTGAATGTTTGTAGATATTGAAAATCTGTTTAGAATCATTTTTGTGAAATTGTGAAAAAAAATCTTTTATTACATCTGCATATTATTTTCAGTCATTTTTTCAGACTAAGTGTACCTGTTTATTATATTTCTTTGAAACATTCACAGTTGTGATGTAAATTTGAGTTTATTTTTGATACTATATGTGTTTTAGTTTCATCAGTTCCGGGGCTGGTGCTCTGTACCTTACAATGCATATGCCTTAGATCAGAAACAAGCTGTGTCTAGTAACTATAGAAACTACAAAGAAAAGAATTACTCATCACCACCAAGCAACATGGTGCAAGTAACTAAGAACCTTTATGCATACAGGAACTTCTTTAGGGAAGCATTTGAGATAGACATAGAATATGAAGAATATGAAGAGATTGAGGTACCAGATTTCTCTCATGGTCGACACGGACGCTTTATTCATGATTTTGTTGTGGTGAGTCTCGAGAGGCTACTAAGTATTCTTTTCCCATGTTAGGTAAAATTTTTAAACATTTTATCATTGTTTTATTTTTACATTAACTGTGTATTTAGCCATATGGGTACTATACAGAATAATTTGAAATAATTTTAATGCAATAATACAAGGTGTATCCATAGTTTGTTTAAAAATACGTGTAGATTGTGGGATTCGAAAACTAATATTTCTACATTGTAATGACTTGTTGTTGGTTGTGTAATGTTCATAAATATTTGTCATATTATTAGAAGGTTGTGTTATTTCTGTGTACTTTCACAATGAATTTCCTTGACATATAGAAAATTTATTTTTAGAACAAAACTGGAATAGTTGATGTAGAAAGAAGGCGGTGTTTCGTGATGCCTCTCAACCGGAAGCTTATCTATCCTCCACGTTCATTAGTTGATTTGATGTTAAAGTTAGAGGTAAGAGAATACTGAACAACATGCACTGGGTATCTATTGAAAGCTCTCTGAATTTTGAAAGCACCCCATATTGCCAAATCCAAACACTCTTAGATGCATTCTGTATTGTGTGGAATCACTAACTTTTTTTTTTACCTAATTAGTTTTATTGTTTTAAATCCAGTTGTAGGTTAGAATAGATCAGTTATGGAGCTCTTTTGATTTCATAGTATCATTTTGTAGGTGCTTTTGGGGCTTATGTGCAGGCAGAATGGAGATATCCTCACTACATGTAAAATCTTTTAGACCTAGGAAACAAAACTGGGCTTTAAGCTAGAGTGTATGTATAATAGCGAATGTGTTGATCACCTTGTGCATGAAATGTCCAAAATTAATTTGAAAACTTTTATATGATTTTAAATATATATATTTTTTTATTTATATCATAAATTGAACATTAATTACTAAAAGGAAAAAAATAACTTTGATTTTTCATAGTAGTAAAGTAATTATGGTCTTTTTTTTTCTTGTTCATTTATTTTCAACTTATTTTGCTCTGCCACCTCTATCGGCAGAGATGGATGCAGTCTCCCACCGAGTGCTGCTCCAACTAGACTATTCCTAACTTACCTCATGGATTTCATACTTCATGGGCTTTCTTTCCCTTTCTGATCATGTTTGTATATATAGTAGCTCATCTTTGTAATTTCTCTGCACTAGCCCCTCCACCATGTTCTTCTAGCTTTTTTTTAGTGCAGAGAGGTGAGTAGTATTTCTGAAGTCAACATTTTCCTTATTTCAAGATATATTTCAGGATACACCTCTCTGTACCACCTTCTATCCTTCCTACACATTTTCAGTGCATTTAGTTTGCCTCATCAAGAATGAGCCCTGCTTCATTTGCTATTGCTTAAGGGGACTACTGTGCATGGAGGATGTATTGCCCTCTTGCTGGTGAAGGTCTATGTCTAATGATTATTACATCAAATGCTAGAGCAATACATGTTGACACATGTATGAATGGGACCTTTGTTCAAGACTCATGGCATGTGCAGAAAGTTACATGGCAGTATGTGTGAAGCGATAGCTTTTTGTGGTGCAAAGTGGTATAGTTTCAGATAAGGAGAATGTTAATTTTTAATTATTCATGGCAATAAACTAATTATAGTTTTTGTTTACTTTAAACTGATAGTGTTTACAGATGAGAATATATGAAAACATGAAGTACTTGTTTACTGGATTTTTAACTATCTAACTGAAGCTTGGGAATTGTGTAAGCACTCAGAATTGTATAGGAAGTATTAAAATTTGGGTAGTGCCAAAAACGAGCCTAACTGAAGTTATTTTTCTTTATTAAGTGAATAAAAATATTGGCAGATAATCAGTGATGTTGGATGAGGTGCATAGGATAGATTACTCCACTACCAAAGGCAGCACATTCATGAATGGAGAGCCTGCACACTTGCCATATTTAATATAAGCTACGAAATTATTATGCCTGAAATATTGTCCTACAAAAGTTTATCCACTGTCATTTTGAGCATTGGAAAAAGTAGCCAAAATTAGGTGTGAAATTAAAGTTATTGACGACAAAAACTTGGACTAAATAATTAAGTAACGAGTAGAGGAAATGCAGGATTTAAATCTGGTCAATTTGGCCAATACTCATATTCATTCACAAATATTGATCCGATTTCAATGCGCTTTTACACGCCTAAAGCTTACGTTGAACACATGCATAATTTATGATAATTCGTCATCTTCTAGTACCAAATCAATTTATCAGTGGTACAGTATTGATTTGTAAAAATATTTACCTTCACAACCAACTCGGTTCCACTTTTTTTTGTCTCATAGCCGATGGTATCTGGCAATTCTCATTTTAAAAACGTGGACAAGCATACACTCGTACTGGTTGCCATCATCATTTTACATGAATGGCAATTCACAAAACTATACTGTAGTCCCCGACTTGGATTAATGCAAGCTCATCAATAATCCTTGTGTACTGGATTGTTAGTGCAGCAGTAGTAAACAGTTATTTTAGTCACAATATGAAAATATCGCTCATCATATGTGCTTAAATAAGTAAAGTTGCATGTATGATTTGAAAATTTTTTTTAACAATATTTGAGTGTGTTATCGTGTGCAAGAGATTGCACACTTCATATCTGAAGGACTGCATCACATTTCTACTTTAGACTACTATCAATAATGTATACCATGTAAAATATTAATGTCCTGAGGCCCAGACTTACCTTTACAGGTATTTTTTTCAACTGGAAGCACTTTATCTATTCATGGACCTGTCTTTCATTTGTTATCCCTTCAGCTGACTTAGTAGAGCGCACTTCTGCATGTGACAGGTCTAGGATTTTACAGGTCCCTAGTCATTTTGTTTCTTTTCCTTCTGTGGAATATGCCTCACTTTTGGATGATTTTGACAAACATTTCTGCCTACAGCCCTTGTTTCTGTCTCTTCACTCCCTGATATTGCATACCTATTCTTTTTTACCTGTATGTCATAATGTCTTTTTGGTTGTTTTACTTTATGTGCTTTTTATGTCCTAACTCCATATTGTCCCACATCTTTCTTGTCTTACTCATCTTTGTGACTCTTGCTTTAATCCCAGGTCTTGGCCCTTTTATATTTTTTTATCCCTAATCTCTTGTGTTTGTTCTTTCTGCTTAGGGTACACATCTTTCTCCTTTGTCTCTTCTTTCCAGCCAAGCTCTCTTGTTTATTCACAGCATAAAGATTTTGTTATCCAAGATGCCTCTCTCACGTTTTGGGGCTCTTGCATTCCTAGGAGCCCTGATCACTTTTAGTCATATACGTGTTCTCTTCAATGGGCTCTAAGAGACTATTAGAATATATGCTGTGATGCCCTTATGTATGGTTGGCGGGTAGTTCTCAACACCATCATTCCCTCCAGGGACAGTTCTCCAGAAGAGTGTTCTCTGAATATTAACTTTCTGGTGATATCTGCAGCTTATTGAGTTCGCCTTCTTCTTTGATTGTGATTGTCTAATCATCTCATGATGATCCACTCAGACAACTTCATAGTTTCTACTTCAGTCAACAACTAAGGAGATACCCGCTCTCGGGTCCTGTGCATTATTGTTTTGAACTCCCTCTCATGAGGTAACTTTCTTTGTATTCACCTTATGTCATGTCCCTGGGGTTTGAATCTGATGGTAGATTGCTTCTTCCATTTTTTGGTTTCATGTTGGATTTTTTTCCATTTAAGAGTCCCTCAGATTGATGATTTTATGAATCCCACTTTGGAGATCTTTCCTTTATCAACATCAGTTGTCCATTTTTCACATCAGAGTGTTGCACCTTTGTCTTCATACGTGTTTATTTGTCTTTTCTCTTCCAAGACACATGATATTTTCCTGCAGTGTAGCCCATTTTCTCTCTCTCATTCTTGTGGACCTCCTACTCTTGCCTTCTCTCAGTGGAAATGAGCTATCTACTACCATTGGTCTTTCTGTTGCTCTCTTAAGCTAGGTCATCCTATTCTTTCACATGTTATTTCCTTCTTCACTTGGCTTTTCTATAAAGGCATGTATGTCTTGACCATTGCAAGATATTGACATTCTCCAGTTTACCCAGAGACTAGTGTACTGAGTTTTGCCAATAATCTCTATGTCATTCATGCATTTCATAACATCTCCATTTGTGCCTCATGATTTCTGTACACATTTTAATTAATTACAAGTTCCTAAACTAATGCAAAGAACAACAACAAACCAAACAGGAGAAGGCAAGACTCACCAAGTCGAATGTTACATGAGGAACTACAACCTGCATTCCTTATCTAAGTGCCATTAGAACATACTGAGTGGCCAACATTGCCTCACATGTAAAAAGTACCCCAAATCAACATCAAATGGGGAATAATAGAAAACGTTGAACCCATCCGTCCGTGCTAAGTGCGTACCATTGAGATGAGGTTTTCTGAAAGACTGCTTTGGCAATGTATTTATACAATTGACATGACTGTTTCTGTGCATTTTACTTTTTTAGTCTTGTACTTGCTGTCTTCAGTCATAGTAGCCTATTACACTGTCTCTTGATCAATTCCAGACGATTTGAAAACATTTGAGATATGCCCCTCCTGTGTGTGTGTGCATCCACTTACCACTGGCAGACTACTAGACTGATTGTCACCAAATCTGGCATGTACTTTTTGGGCCCTCTAGCGAGTGCTGTAGAGGATAACTATTTGGATATGACCTCCCTTGTCACTCCTGGGAACCACATGTCTTTCCTGTGGATTGTTTTCACTTATAATTCTATATAGCCTAAGGATGTATGACAGCTAGCAAAAACAGGTCATTTATACTAGCTGTGATTTAGCTTTCTGGCAAATAATTTTAAGTGTTATTTCTGGTGATTCGATAGGTATGTCTTTCTATAGAATAGTATGAACTCCTGTTCATTCTCCATCTGCTTGAGGTATGCTATGGTTGAACAAACATATCATAGAAGCATCTAGTGTACACGTGACTTGCGTCAGTTTTCCAGATGTATATTCTTCTTGATTATCTTGTGTATTGTTGCCTGGTACACATGAGCAGATTTTGCCCCTGAAGTTTATGGATTTGTATCTGTTACAATATGTCTCACTTTGTTTACTCTGGCTGGGATATGCCTTGTTGCATTTCTCTTTCTGGATGGCCATGGTATCCTAAGTTGATCCATATTCCTTTGCTTTCTAATCCCATTAGGTACAGGGTATATTGCCATCTTGAAAATTCTAAATCCTTGATCTTAACACATCTTTATAATCCAGTGGTAGGTTTATGAACATACAATGCTAAAATCTGGGGTTTGACTCCCTGTGGTAGACAGAGCAGATAGCCCAGTGTGGCTTTGCTCTAAAACAGACAAACACCTCTTTATTATCTAAGTGTATAAGTATTTTGTGAAGGAAAGAGTGGTTTTTCAAATGAACACCTATAAACCATCAAACACATGCAGTTACAAAATATGAGTGATTTGCATCATTACCACTAAGGGCATCTTCCATACTTAAACTATTAGTAATTTTAAATATATCTAACTTATTTTAGAAACTTCCTAAGTGATTTATAATATTAAATGCCATGAATTAATAGCAAAATCTAATAAACTGTAATTATTCTTGAGTAAGCTACTTTATCCTCACCCATTTAATTGTGAGAAAATAACTTATATATCTTACTAGGTTTCTAATAGAATGATTTCCTCATTAGACTGGCTATTATGATGTGAACACAGAAGTTGTTCGAGAAACAATGTATGTTATCACCCCACCTGTCAGCGACAAAAAGAAGCTTGGATACCACATCGCAAGAGTTTGCTCTACGTTTCCTATTTATCGCCTAGAGAGAATGACTGTTCCACAGATTAATACACATTGGCCTCACAGAGGTAGGTAAAATGTTGCAGTGTACATTAGAAAACAGTAAGAAAATGCTGTCCTTGCTCCTGTCATTAGTAACAAAGTATTCTATTGTGGGAACACCCTACTCTCAAAGTTTAACTCATCTTTATTACAACTTGCCTGAAAGTTATTTTTTAATAAATGTAGTGATATTAATTAAACTCAGAAGAGTCTGTATTATCAGGCTGCACCAGTCTAACTAAAATGTTTATAAAATGTCATAAACAAGTATGAGATAATTATCATATTCTATTAGAAAAATTAATTAATTATAAAACATTTTGTTTTGTACAGTATAAACAACTTACAGTTTACTTGTGATGTCTTTAGTATATTTCATTGTGTTTTCTTTACCTCACATATGTATGATTTTTTCTTTGGAACTTCCAAAGTAGAATGTGGTTCACTGTATTCATGTAACAAGTGAAATATGTGTATGATTTTTTCTTTGGAACTTCCAAAGTAGAATGTAGTTCACTGTATTCATGTAACAAGTGAAGTATGTGTATGATTTTTTCTTTGGAACTTCCAAAGTAGAATGTGGTTCACTGTATTCATGTAACAAGTGAAGTATGTGTATGATTTTTTTCTTTGGAACTTCTGTATTTTTTTGTAAGTTTTTAAATGTATGTAGAATTCTTTGAAACTGGTTCATCCAGCTATTTCAGCCCTGTGTTTGAAAGATATAGGTATTGGAATTGTAAATATATTTGTTTTTATGCATGGTAAAATATAACATTGTTCTTTTGTAATATAGGTTTCAATAGATGCTGTATGTTCACTATTTGTTTTTATAATTTTTTAATTAAGTTAATTTAAGAATCTGATACTTTTTTGTTATCTTTCTAATAAAGTAGTTTTTGAAAGCGTGCTAGAGTTGTGATGAGACAAGAAAGTAATTAGTTGGTGAATGTAAGACCTTGGGAGAGTTACAGTTATTTTCATTCTACTGCATTACAAAACAAATAAATTGATGTTGTGTTTATCTCCAATTGTTTTTATAGTTTACAAGCGAAATGCAGAAGAGAAGAACACGTTTGTTGAATTTGCAGGACCTAACATCAGCGAGATTAAAATAGTTAACATCCATCATGCTGTTGGTGCACCTGTAGAGTAGTGATAAAAAAAAACACTATAATTTTGACAGAATGAGTTATTTACATTTTGAATTATTGGCAGTCCTTTCCACTGTATGTATTACTTATGTCTGTAGTGTTTGTAAGATAAAGGCTTTGTGAATTGTTTTCTCTTCTGAATATATTGCTTTTTCTGTGATTGGATTAACATTAAAATGTTATATGTATCTATTGTATTTAAAGGAAGTTTAAATGTGTATAGTTAAAAGGATACAATTACTTTGTTGACTTAATTTCTAAAATTAATTGAGGTAACAATGAATGTACATTCAACATGTTACCAACTTATATTTCAACATTTGTTTATGGTTTTATAAATATAGTTATTAAGAAGGGTTATAAAAACCTTGTTTGATAAGTTAAATTGTGGCTGAAGCATATGTTAATGTGTGTTTGAAATGTTTAAAGTTTTTTCTGTGACATGAAACACACACATATTATTCAAAGGACCAGTAAGTTTGAAATATCATTTCTTTTTATATCAATTTTTGATTTTAGTAAGTTGGTAGTACTTTCACAGCTTTAACACTGCTCTTCAGCCAATGGCTTTTCTTATAGTTCTTGATGTACAGGAGGAAATTAAAGTCTGGCACTCTTTAATATTAACTTGTAACCTTGAGGTATACACTTTGGATTGACCATTAGCTTTTGGACCATATGGTTACGAGTTATTATTAAAAGAATGAAAGACTTCTAATTTCCTCTTAGGCATCTAGCACTATAAGAAGAGCAGTGTTAAAGCTGCAATAACCCTACCAAGCTGCTGAAATCAAAAGTATAAATAAAAAGATACAATATTTTTAAAATTGGTGGTCCTTAAGAAAATCACACCCTTATATATATAATTGTTCACATTACTTTTTGGAAAATACACACTATTGAATCTTAGAATTTTACTTGAATATGAAAAAAAATAGTGTTGGTTTTTATTAAAAACCAGGGTAGGAAAAGAAACTGCAGAATATTAACTCATATTTACATGGATATCTGTTTAAAATTTTAGCTCAACCTTAAAAGCACAGTGTGTTTTGAATACTTATAATAGTATATTTTAAATTATGCATGCAAGTTTCTGCTTGGCAAGACAAACTATCAAAATCTAGATTGTTGCCTGATAAATGTTACTTTGATAGAAGAAGTACTAAGAGAAAGGTTTTATGGTATTCCTATTGCAAGTTTATCTCTAGGTGTTGTTTATTATATCAAACAGTTTATTATCCATTATTAGAAATCTTGATTGTCTGTTTTAACTTATATTTAAAGGAGTAATTGTTGTATAAATATAAATGCAGTTCAGAAGTTTGTATATCAAAGAAAGTACTGAACTGAAGATGCATTCAGTTTTCTTTTATCAAATTTCCAGTAGTAAATGAGAAGGTATTAACCAAATGTGCATAGGATTGATTCATTGGAGAAGAAATGTTGACAGAAGTTCTGAATTTACTATGTCTAACTACATGAAAATAAGTAAAATGTACAAGTCTGTTGTACACACACAAAAAAAAACAGACATGTTAAAAGTATTTGAACTCGAGATATGTCTGTGAATTGCCGACATCAGAGTGAAAAGTGATGTTTATGTGAAGAATAAAAATGCTTTTTTTCCATTGTAGAGTTTGCATATTGTATAACCTCTAGAACCTCCAAAATCCATATCTAGTTTTTCCAGTGTCACTGTATATTGTATCTGGTGTTTACTCTCCTCTACCATGAACTGTCATTAAATCAGTAATATAGGGTAAAATTAATAAATGATGATTCTAACATCAAATACATAATACCATGTTGCACTGTGTAAAAGGCTGTGACATATGCACTTTGACCCCTACCTGTGCACATAGTTAAAGTTTAAACATTTAATTTCTTGTATCTTTGTGTGAAAAAACACTTGTAGGTGAACAGCAAATTAATATTGTATTTTGTTTTTAAGTAAGAAAAAAAATGAAAATAAATAAATTTTGTTTATGTTTCTAATCTTTAAAGTGAATTTTATATAGTTTACTTTTATGTATACTTTCTTGAAGTAATTCAAGGATTAATTTATTATTTTTATGTTCATTTTATTGTTGAATTCTATATTCCAAGCAGCTTGCTAGTAAAAGTTTGTTTATTTTGTTGTTGGTTTTTATATTCCAAGCAGCTTGCTAGTAAAAGTTTGTTTATTTTGTTGTTGGTTTTTATATTCCAAGCAGCTTGCTAGTCAAAGTTTGTTTATTTTGTTGTTGGTTTCTATATTCCAAGCATCTTACTAGTCATTTGCCAAATGATCATTTCTAATTAGCCTTGTAACTTAAGGCAAATGTTTTTTTTCAGCACATTACCTTTCAGAGTTTCTTGTGGTGCATTCCTTTGATGGTCCCAGTATTTAACTTTCTTTTGTTTTCATTTTTCTGTTTATATATATTTCTGTTACATATTATTTATTTGATGTGTTTAATTTTACATTTTTGTTTTATTGACAAAGCAAATCCAGGTCTCTTAATACAGTTAAAAAAAAACTTTACAATTTAAAAATTTCTGTGTGATACAAAAGCTATTGAATTGGCTTAAACTCCTCATGAGTACTGATGAACAGAACAATTTCTTGTACTCTAACAAGTAAGTAAGACTATTTAAAAGTGATTCTGGACTTGCTCATATTTAACTGTGTACAAAAACAAAACATCATATTTCTGAAGTACGCAGTTATATTCCTGATTTTAGTTCACCTTCAGTATGTTCTATTAAAGACGATAGAAGATCACTGCTGAAAGTAGAACTTTTCTAGTTCCCTATTCTAATCATATAAATGTGTAGGAGACCCTAAATCTAGAGTGTTTTAACCTTACTACATATTAAAGTAAGTTACTCAGGCCTGAATGTAACTGAAGACATTTGGGGTTTTCTCGCTTAACTTTTTTTTTTTTTTCATGTTCCCAAATGACGTGCTTGTTCGTAGATGTTAAGCCAGAAATGTGATAATCAGTTAGATTTTTATGAATGTTTGTGTTAAGTGAAAAAGTTTAAAGAAATTGTCAGTTTTAAACAGCTCTTGTAAATTATGGGTATTTATTTGAAATGCCCATATTGAATTGTTCTGGAAATTAGTAGGGAAGTTGAGAAACCATTTAAAGAAGTTGATGTAATTCTGGTAATATATGAAAATAAAATTCTAGTGTTGTATGATGGGTATTTCTTTGTTTACATGTAAGTTACTCAAGACTGCTTGTCATTTGGTTGAATCAGGTACAACTTGTTCAGTATATTAGCTGACTTTAAGTAAAATATCCTGTTCTGTGATGTAAAAGCAGGTACTTTGGTAAAGAAATTTCATGGCTTAAATGTTTACTATTTACTTGTTAGATAGTCAACCACACTCAAAATTTCCTGCAAATCAAAGTCAGATTTTATATTTAAACGTTTTAGGAGATACTAATTTTAAATACACTATTGGCCTGAATATAAGGCAACCCCCCATTTTCAGAAAGAAACAAAATTTGAGTGTCATAACATTTGAATAAAAAATACGCACTTGATTTATTCCACTGTAAATTCAAACAAATATCAAAAGATTACAAGTATTTTGGAAGATAATTAAGGTATGTGGAATTTTAATTTAATTTGAAATGCAGCATTTCTTATGGATAACAAGTCTAAAACTTGCAATTGGGAGGTCATACCTCCAGGGATGACAACCAAATTGGTATTTACTTTGTGAATTTCTGTTAAGTGTCTCCTAAATGCATCAAGTACAAGCATCGATCTCATTCCTGGCTTTCTTCCCCAAATGACTTTAAGCTAATCCTAAACAAGTCTTTCTTTCATCCAACTCTTTTCTTGTACTATCACTCCAGAAGGCAAATTTTCTTTAGGCATTGTTTTTCTCTTCAAAATGACATATGGAGGAGGTTTTGTGCAATCTGCCAGAACTGTAACACTAGATTTCTCCTTTCTGTTTGTTTTAACAATACTGTTTTTTCTCCCTTATTGTGAACAGTAACATTTGCAGGCATGTCAAAGAACACCCGTGCTTGATCTGTATTACCCATGCAACTAAGTGGATACCCATACTTTTTCCTTATGCCTATAACAAGGTGTTGAAATTAAATCAGTTTTGCATTGTAATCTTCAAGTAGCTTTTGTGCCAAACTTGTACGTCATCTCAGAGCTAGCCCATTTCGTTTCATCATTCTTTTACACCATCCCAAGCTTGCTTTAAATTCTGTTTCCGATATGTTTAAACTTTTGGCAATTTCTTTGCCTTTAAACTGGATAACTTCTCTTGTTATTGGAAATCCTTTGTCTCGCATCCCTTTAACATACTGAACAACACATTCGTCAAGTTCTTCATAACGTCCATTTTTAGGTCCACGAAATGCCTTTCTAGTAGAATGTGCATTAAGGAGTTGAGTCTTTTGTTTCCGCCAACGCCTCACATTATTTTCAGTTACACCAAATTTTCTAGCAGCGGTACAGTTGTTTGTTTTTTCTGCCTCATGCACCACCATAATTTTAAGATTTGCATCATAACTCCGTCGTAATCCTTTGTTAATTTGACACTTTCTTGTTCCCTGTCTTTCAATGTGGTCATTCATTCTTGCACAAGGGTCAATCACTAAAATGAGACTCACAGATAATCATTATTATAAAACTTAAAACAAGCACAGTCAAAGCAATAATGCACCAACAAAAATCAGTACTATAACTAAACAGCCTGCAGGTGGATTAGTTGCAAGAATTGGCAATGACCCTGAGTGAACATCTGGCACGCATGCATAGACAGATGCTAACTGGACATTCAGGAATGTGACAGGCTAGAGTAGGGGGAAGGGGCCTGTAGTTGGCCACAATTATAAGGCAACTATGAATTTTACAGCCTAACTAATAATAAAAAACATTGCCTTATAATTGGGCCAATACAGTAATGTTTTGCAAAATTTTTTGCATATGAAGAGATGTTTCATATTTAAACATTTTAAAAGATATAAAGGTGTAGAGATTGCATTAGAACATTTAAAAAATTTTCAAACTTTCCTCATAAGAACATTAAGTTTTATATATATATATATATAAAGATTATAGACAGTACTATATTTTTTTCTTTCTCAAAACTTCTGCATATGTTTGTTTGTTGTTAAGAACATAACTACAAAATAAGCAGGTTATGCTCTGCCCACCGCGAGTATTGAAATCCCATTTGAAGCATACAGAGCCTTCAACATTTACTGCTGAGCCATCTGGAGACAATTGAATATGGAAATCAAGTTTTATGTTTAATGCTTTTACAAGATATAAAGTCCATAGATGGTACTAGAATATCTTTTTATTTTTTCAAGATTCATATTTAAATATTCTAGAAAATACAGTACATTAGGCATTGAAAAATGAAATTTTTTTTTCAAAATTTCTACATATTAAGAAAACGTTTTATATTTAAAAGATTAACGTTAGAGTAGAAATGGTACTGGAATGTTTATCTTATCTTCCTTAATGTTGCATTTTTTACAAAAAGTAACTTTAATGATAAAAAAAATGAACATAATAATTAATAATTAGTATCTTCTTTTGAATTTAACTCTTTAAAAAAAAAAGAAAGAAAAATACATTATAGCCTAAATATATAAGGTATATTTTCATATTTTACCTTCCATAACATCAGTTTTTTAAAAAAGGAAATAGTAATATGTAAAAACAAGTTTGGTTTCATTTCTTCTGGCCTCTAACAGGCTGTATTTGTGAAACACTTAGCCCCAAACCTTTGTATAGATATTCTTGTTTAAGTTTTCATTAATTTACAATGTGACTATATTAATGTTAACAGAACCAGGTCAACTATATTATAGTTATCTGTAGTGAAAATTAACACAAAAAAGGGTTGATTAGCAGTACCAGTACAGTTCAGAAAGTTACTGATTTTATTTCTTTGGTATTACACATTACAGCACTGAGATTAATTGTACATTGTCAATATTTCAGAACATTCCTGAACTACAAGCAGAAGTTCATTAGATTCAAGGTGATTCCTGAACTGCAAGTGGTAACAAGTGTATGCAAATAACTTTTTATAAAAACAAAAACTAAGAAGTTATGCAACAATATATCTATTTAATATGGATTATGAACCAACAAAATAATTTGAAATTTGCTATAAAATGTTCTAGATTCTTTAAATAAAATCGGAAGATAAGCAAAAACCAAGGTTTGTAATATTAACATAATTTACATACATAATATCATTAAATGTGTACAATTCAGAATGTGTAACAATACACATTTTTTTTTCTCCTAAGCTTACGAAAATCATTAAAAGGGTTTTATATTATAAAGCAGCAATCTTATTTGAGAATTTTTCTCTCATGTCTGGCGAAAAGTGCATGACAAAGTGTATCTTACTTATATTCTTGAATATTTTCTAAATAAGTAACTTCTGGAAAGACAGAGCCACAAACTTCCTATCTGGATTGCTTCTCTACAGATTATACCATCCAGTGTTTTAGCCCACTACTGCTTCCAATCTTTACCTCACACTAAATAGAGGTGGAATTGTTGGCTTTGTTAATGAACTGATAGTTTCTTGTTAGTGAATATCTGTCCTCATGTTCAGAAAAAAAGGCCTAGCTAGAAGATTATACCTATTATCAATAACCAGTAATTTCTATCAATAATGTGATACATTCCTGCTGGTGTACATCCCTTATGGCTCGTCAGTTTACCATTTGGTACAAATATTTTGCTTTACAATAGAAAACTGTATGGTTTCTCTTTAGTGTGCGTCTTCTTGTGTTTTTTTAAAATGCCATTGCTTCTAAAATGTTTTCCACACACTATACAACTGTATGGTTTTTCTCCAGTGTGTATCCTATTATGTGTTTTTAGGTTACCCATTATTCCAAATTTTTTACCACACACTACACAAATGTATGGTTTCTCCCCAGTGTGTACTAACTCATGACTTTTCAGTTCACTACTTGTTATAAATTTTTTGCCACATGCTGAACAACTATGTGGTTTCTCACCAGTGTGTATCCTCACATGTTTTTTTAGGTCACACTTTGTTCTAAATATTTTGTCACACACAACACAACTGTATGGTTTCTCACCAGTGTGTACCCTTTCATGTTTTCTCAGGTTACCCATTACTCCAAATTCCTTTCCACAAACCACACAACTGTATGGTTTCTCCCCAGTGTGTATCCTCTCATGTTTTTGTAAGTTCCCCATTGTTCCAAAATCTTTGCCACACACAGAACAACCATATGGTTTCTCCCCAGTGTGTATTCTCTCATGTATTTTTAGGTCACTCTTTGTTCTAAATTCTTTGCCACATACTATACAACTGAATGGTTTCTCCCCAGTGTGTATTCTGTCATGTTTTTTTAGGTCGCTCTTTGTTCTAAAATCTTTTCCACATGCTATGCAACTGTATGGTTTCTCCCCAGTGTGTATCTTCTCATGTTTACTTAAGTCACTCTTTGTTCTAAATTCTTTGCCACATGCTATACAACTGTATGGTTTCTCCCCAGTGTGTATTCTCTCATGTTTTTTTAGGTCACTCTTTGTTCCAAATTCTTTGCTACACACAGAACAGATATATGGCTTCTCCTTAGTGTGTATTCTCAAATGTATTTTTAATTTACTATTTGTTCCACATTCTTTTCCACAGATTACACAACTGTATGGTTTATCACCACCCTGAGGTAACTGACTTCCACAACAGATGTCCACACCAGACTTGATATCTAAATAATAATTTTATCATACATTACTTTGTTTGATTAACTTCTAAGTAATTTGAAACAGTCTAATACAATTGATACAAATGTCAATAACTCTGAAAAAAAATTATTTAACTAAAACAAGAGATGGAATGGTGGAAGTTAACACTTTTCTACCTGGAAATGTATCTTGGATAGATTCCTCTCCACAGAACAGCTAGAACCTCTACTCTGATCCCACAGTTTTTTTTTTTGCATGGACCAAACTTTTCAATGAGCTCTCACCCTATTCATACTAACATTTACTGCAATAACATGTGGTAATCAGCATTAGGCTATAGCACTCCACTCCTCCATGCACAGTACTCTCCTTGAGCACCTCATGTAAACAAGAAGCTCATTCTTGATGAAGTAAGACATTGGAAGAATAGTAGATGTTTTTGTGGAGTATTTATGTAAAATACATTTTCAGGTAAAATAAATGTTAACTTCAGAAACAATACTCACTTCTTCACACAACAGATAGCTAGAAACCCACACTGTGACAATGATAGAAGGACCAGTGTACAGAAGTTGAACAAATGAATTCCATTTTTGAGAGTATAATGACAGAAGTGGAGATCTTGAGGGTGTTGTATCTCACTCGGGGGATCTAGTGAGAGACTACATCTATCTCAAGTTGGGAGAACTCTTCACCCCATACATGTGGTGAGCAGCACTTGGTGAGAGACCACATCCATCTCAAGTAGGGAGGACTCTTCACTCCATATATGTGGTGAGCAGCACTTGGTGAGAGACCACATCCATCTCAAGTAGGGAGCATTTGGTGAGAGACTATATCCATATCAACCAGACAGTACTCTTCACTCCATATATGTGGTGAGCAGCACTTGGTGAGAGACTATATCCATATCAACCAGACAATACTCTTTGCTCCATATGTGTGGTAAGCAGTACTTGGTGAGAAACTGCACTCATCTCAAGCAGAGAATAAAAGTGGTTGTTCAGAAAATTTCTAAGAAACATCCTGCTTTTTTACTAATGTTTTGCAAAGATGTGTGAAATATGAAGGCTGTAAATTGCCCATTATATCCCAGGGAGTCAACATACCATAGAAGTTAAGTGTGGCTGTACAGTATAGGAGAAATACTTGCAAGAATATGTAGATTCAGTGATGAATCATACCAGATCCGCATCCCGAGAATTTGTGACATATCTTTGTCACAACCACTGGTTCTTAGTTTTGGAGTGGTCTATAACATACTTTCAACAATATGATACTATCCTTGTTTTACTTCCAACCAAGGGGTGCATCCACTTCATCTCATACAAATGGGATTTCACTAACATGAAAGGCAGCACCAGTTATTGGTGTTCCATTGTCTCTGTTTTTCTTATGTGCTTTTCTTTTTCTTGTGATAGGCAAAGCTGTAATGGAACAAAATTGTCAAAAACAATGATTCAGTCTTCAACGCTATTCTTAAATGAAGGCCTAGTGGTTAGGGCACTCAACTCACAATTTGAGGGTCACAGTTTGAATCCACATCACCAAGTATGCTCATGCTTTTAGCTAAACTATTCTTAAATTTCTTGTCTTGTAAAACTTCCTTGATTGATACCAAATCCCTAGTACTTACAAGTTGAGGTTGATAAACACCACCAAAAAGAGCCACTTCCCATAACATCAGTGCAAGATGATTCCAGTAGTCTGTCGGGTCCCTAGCCTTTAGCTGCCAAACAGGAGCAATCTTTCCTCTAAGTTCTCAAATTCCATAACTTACTGCAGTATGAGATGAAGTTGACATACTCACCAAATATTCTCCTTTACATGCTCAAGGTCAGTTGCACTAAGACCAAAAGATCCCTAAAGTTGTTTGGTACTTTGGGGTTATCAAACATGTGTCCTTCCAAAGCAGCTCAAATAACACTTGAGGGCTTAAGTATATTAGAACTGTACTCTGGCTAAATGAAGACAAAGTCACCAGAATCATCAAGATTTTGATCATAAATAACAAAACTCCAGACTCAAAATGAAGGTCAGATAAATTCAAATTATTCAAGCTAGGTGTATAGATTGAAAACAGGTCATAACTAGTCAGTGACAACTATTACTCTCCTCTTTTTCACCTACTTTTAAACATTTAAGTTCAATCCAACTGAAATATCTTGCAAAGTGAGCTAAAACTGTTTTCTCTCTCTCTCAGACATAGTGTATTTCCATTACCCTAATCCTTCCATGAAAATGCAATACCTGCCAAATATTTCAATGTAAAAATTGAAACATTCTCTGACCAGTATTAATGCAAGTAATACTTACTTGCTTACAGTTAATTTCAAATCATGAAGTCTTAACATCCACATCAAATTCTGTATTTACATCCATATGTTGCTTAATAGTTGTCTTCTTTCCATACCTGATTCATTAAGTCATGTTTTATAACATCAACCCTTTTGTTGCATAATTAAATTTAGGGCTGGTTCCCAAAAAGTGCCAATTATCCACTAAAAATTAAATTCGGAATTTTATCTTTTCTAGCCCTTTTCCAATATTAAAAGGAGACAATATATTTCCTACATCTGGCACAACCTGATATTTGTACCATATAAAGAAAATTTGTGATTTACATCCAAAAACTGAGAAAAAAATGTGGAACTCATCATTCTGTAAATGGTATATAATTTGATTGAAATATGTCGGTAAACAGCTAATTTACTTGTTTGTTATACATCATGATAATGACAATGAAAAATATAACATTATATACATTATGAACAACTATTTTATCTATATACAGAATACTGAAGAATAAAGCCAATATCGTAAATCTAAAAATATATACAGTAGCTATATATCATACAAATCCATTACAACAGTACTTCTAGGTGTTGTATATGCTTTGAATATTTACTTTTACTGCATTGACACACTTCATTATACCTAACCTTTTTGTGATACTCCTCAAAGTATGGCACAACACACAAGGGAGGCTTATCAATACATTGTCCACAGTAATAGGTAGTTTGCTTTCACTTGCACTTCTGTTTTTATATACATTTTGCAGGCAGGATGATGCACACAGCACAAATGGGCTATTACTTTTTATCCTCAAAATGCCTAAGTAAATGGTGCTATACTAACCTAGCATCAGTTGGTTCAGAACTCATGCAAACCCTTTTACTTGAAGTTCTTCAGGTATATCCTTCAAGCAAGCCATGTAATACCTTCTCTCTGAACTTTTAGTCAATTTATTGCTGGGGTTTTATGCATTGTAACAAATATACCCATTGACAAGTGCTACCTCAATAATAAAATGCCACAATGTTTGGTACTATTTTTTGTGCTTCCTATGAAAAGAATAAGTAGAGCACAGCTGGTTGAACTTATCGACCCCTCCCATATATTTATTATACAAAATTGGGTTTCATTACACTTCTTATACCGTTTTTTTTTATTGTACTTGTACTTTACTCACACCTGCATTACCTACATTTGATATCATGTTTACCTTACCCGTGTCCTGCCATGTACAGACAAACATTATTTTTTCATCATTTTCTATGTTGTTGGGAGTTCCCCACGCTTCATTTATAGTCTTCATTTCTGTGAGTAAACCTTTTCTATTTGTATGCACTGTGCCACATGCATCTATTTTCTTCACCCTCAGGATATCAAAAAGTTGTACACTTGAATAAAATTCGTCCAGCTACACTATATGCCCCTTATTCTCAAATCCATTTAATATGAAACAACCCTATAATAACCCACGGTCTTGGATGTTTGTGGTTTCTTTGCCTGTGTATACCTAAAATTTTAACAGATATCCAGTTGAGAGAATCACACAGCAACCAGACTTTGACGCCTCATTTTGCACTAGGTTTGTTTGGGAGATACTGCATGAAAAGTAGCCTCCCCTTCAATTTCAGCATCAACTCATCAAAAAACATCTTTAATCATGGACATGTTGGAATTGCTTCAAATTACATCATCAGTATTAAATATTTTATTTACAATATTCTAACTTAAAAAAATCTGCATTAGCTATTAAGAAGGTAATTTTTTATACATCAAAAGTTTAGAAAAAAATTTAAACGGTAACAATATCATGGAATGTGCTGTTAATCTGTCATTGTTATAATTATTATTTCACTCAATCTTTTACATATATTTAATTATCCCTACTGTGAATGTTTTAATATTTTGTAGGTCATTGCTGTAAATTCACAATTATCACTGCTAAGTATTTTCTGTTCTTTTCTTTATTAAATCTTCAACTTTTCATTATTAGTGGTAAGGATCTTAAACTGAATATTATAACTTTATACAAACATTTGCAAAGGCTTTTATTTCACTGTCTAATTCATGTTATTTTCCATTAATTATTATATGTTATTTTTCTCAGCTTACTGCTTCATTTTTTTCTTTGCTTCAACTGTATAATTCTCACTCTTGGGCTGGGAGTGGCCTAGTAGTTAGCAAGCCAAAATGTGAACACGTGGTTACTGGCTTACTTGTTTTGAATTTCATGCAAAACTACTCAAGGGCTATAGTTTAGCAGTGACAGATTAGAGGGAGGGCAGCTAGTCAACACCACCCACTGCCAACTCTTGGGCTACTCTTTTACCAATGAATAGTTAGATTGATTATCACATTATAACAACCCCATGGCTGAAATGGTGAGCATGTTTGATGGTGAGGATTTGAACCTGCAACCTACAGATTGTGACTGGAATGCCATAACCACCAGGCCATCTGCCAGACCTCGTGGTTACTGTCCCATTACCATTCACTAATATGAATCCTACAGTCTATTAGGCTGGGTGTGGCCTAATAGTAAGCAAAAATGCAAGCTCAAGGTCTAAAGGTCTGTAAAATTGTGCTCTACACTATGAGGTCATGACTGTATTATAAGAATGAAGGTGAAAACTCACTATTTGCTTAGGGTAATCAGAAAATGACAATGGGATCAATATCACGTGTTTCACAATTCTGTAAAATGGCCAAGAATTCAACATTTCCAATCAGTGCCAATTAATTTAGTTTTTAGGACAGGTTTCTACTTACCACAAGTAATTTCTGACCCAAGTTCAGTTTTTTGTAAATCTTTTTGAAATTCAGTTTCTGTTTTCACATTCATAACACTATCCACATCATCATCATTGCTGTCACTGAACTTTGAAATAATCTCATCTTGAAGTACATCACCAGGCTGTTCTGTTTTCACTCTGACTAATATGTTCTGAAATCAAACACATTCAAAAGATCAATAAAATAACAAGGGGCATCACTAACGTCGACAAATACATAAAGTCTTCACAGTTGACTAATTAAACTTACACATATATACATATATATACACATAAAACCTAACATTTCAAAGTTGGTAATCTATAACAACCTGTACAAAACTATTTAAACATTTACAAGATTTAAAAATGTTTTTAGTTAAATCTTTCAGCACAGGCTTCGTCCCCTGGACTGACCTCGTAACCATTTTGTGCTTGTTATAGTTTTCATGCTATAACCTTTAAATTAATAAGAGAATGTTAACAAAATTTGGCAGATTACCAGTGAACAATACAATGCTTTCATACACAAAATATAATCTTTTTTTATTAAGTCTTAAGGTTTGTAAAGTAATGTTCTCCTCATGCTTTTTTCTTTTCACATGTTGCCTATCTATCATGCAAAGTAATTTTTATCTTAACATTAAAAATACTTTTATGCATCAGAAAATTTTCAAATTTCACATGTGAAATCTTTATAATGTCCAGATAGTCATCAAATGTTTCTTAAGAAAAAACTTTATATTTTATGTGTTATTTTCAGTAATGAATCTCTGTATGGGTTCGGTAGATTTGAACAATCTCGCAACCACCATAAAAAATTAGGAAATAAATATAAATTATGCCTCTTTCATACATCATTACAGCTATATATTCACTTTAATAAGACAACTGTAAAAGTTTTATTGTAGAAATTACCTCCATTTTTTCTGTTTCTTCATCACAGTTCTCTTCTTTTTCTTCTTTTGCTACATCAAACTTCAAAATGGTATGTGAAGAGCTTTCTGCTAAGGAATCTGCTTTTCCTGTTGCTAGAAGTACAAATAATGTAGATTTGTCTATAACCAAACTTAATATACATCATGCTTCACTAAATCATAATCAATATCCACTCACTGTATCTAACTGAACAGAGATCTTATATAATTTCTTTTCTAGTGTGTAGATACACTGATATACACCAGAAAGTATCGATTATCAGCAGGGTGCAGGTTCTGAAAATGTTAACTAGAGAATAATTTCAAACATGAAGAACAAAGGAAAAACAAGAAATACAAGCAGACAGCTACAAAGTCTTTATACATACACAGTATAAGTTTCTACTAACTGGCCAGGCTGTACACTCCCAGCAAGTCTGATGAGGCCTGGTATTAGATATGAAAAACAGATACAGTGTGGTTGAAATGTTGTTATACACTCAACCACTAGTATGCCTCTTGTACTCTGAAGATGTGGGTGATAGTTTGGCTCATTGGATAAAAATCTGGCTGGACGGAAGAGTGTAGAGGGTCATTATGTCTCTATAGAGAAACATTTTTTTTTTGTTTCTTCTTCTTTCAAACACTTGGTCCAATGCACCTAAGCACCTTTTTTAAATTTTTAGGCTTTTTTATGGATTTCATGAGGTTAAAGGTAAAACAATCCAAAAATGCATATTACTGGCTCTTGTGCAGTCATATTTACAGAAACCAAGATGAAAATTTGTGCAAGTATAAATTTTCTTTCCCAAAAAAGGACATATAAAAAAAAAAGTTGGATTTGCCTATTTTGAGCCTTTTTAGGGGGGGTCAGAGCTAAAAAAAAAGCATAACTATAGGGGTTTTGTTTCATTTCTTGGCCATATTTTAACCAATCTACATGGGATTTGGTACAAAGATATTCTTTGCAGCTCCCAAACAGATACAGACAATTTTGATATTTTTGCCTTTTGCTAAATTTTTCAGCAAGGAAAGCACAATTTGGGGTTTTCATGAACTATTCATGCATATGTCAACCAACTTACATGGTATTTGGTACAAAGATACCTCCTAGCAGGCCCCAATCAGTTATATATAATTTTTTTTATTTTTCATGATATTTCTGGTATCTAAACTGGCTATGTTGGGATTATATGGCAAAAACATGTTGCTCTTGTCTGCAAATGTTGGCCTCTTTAATTAAAAATGGAATTCAGCCAAGCTTGATTAATGTCATAAGCAGAGTACCTTAGGGCTCAGTATTAGAACCTTTGCTCTTTTTGACTTAATTTTGCTGATGATATTAAAGTTTTGGGTGTTGCTGGCTTTCAGGAGGATGCTGCTGCTTTACAAAAATGCTTAGATTATTTGTTGACATGGGCAAATAAATGGCAGATGGCTTTTAACCATAATAAATGCAAGGTAATGAATGTGAGTTATCATAATTTGAATTTTGAGTTTAATTTAGATGCAAATGGCATTAACAGTGTTACAGAAGAAATGGATCTTGGTCTTCTGGTTGATTAATTTCTTAAACCTTCTAAGCAATGTGCTGTTGCTAGTGGTAGGACAAATAGGATTATAGGTTATATCTACAGAAATAATGAATACAAGTCTAAAGAGATTGTAATGTCACTGTATAGGTTTTTTGTTAGACCACATTTGGACTATTATGTTCAGTCTTGGGCTCCTTACCTTAGAAAGGACATTGAACTGTTGAAAAGGGATAAGGGGAGGGCTACTAAAATGATACTTGGATGGAAAGATTGTCATAAAATAACTGGTTAAGGTCTCTAAAATTGTCTTCTCTTGATCAAGCTTAGTAACTAAGATGTATTTTACTCTTGAAAAAATATGAAATTTCAAGCAGACTAAAGACACAACCTACCTCATTGAAATCTTGGTTCAAAAGAAAGAAATGGTGCTAGCCACGTTAGAAAGGTTGAGAAAACCACTAGGGAACATTCTGAGCTTCCGATTGGTTATTCATGTCATATATATAAGAAAGTGTTTCCAAAAATGGAAAGAGGTGGGTGGGGTGCCACTGTGGTTTATTTATAACATGAGCAATATCTTAGCAAATTGAAAAGATAAGACCTTATTTTATATTCTAGCTTGTCAATATCTGTAATTTGAG